AGAGAATGCTTCTCAAAGGATGGTGGTGAAGAGTAGTGAAACAAAATATGCACTTAGCATAGGACTAGACTAAATGGTCATTAATCAAGAGCTGCTAACATTCTTATTAGGGTAACTACTTATTTTTTATTCTACCTGTTAAAATTCACTGTTGTTGCCTAGAAGATGTACAGGAGAAGAGATGCTCAGAATTCCTAACAAAAATGCTATGAAAAAAAGACATGTCATTTCCAAACTGACAAAAGCTATGGGCTTAACTTGAAAAATGTAAACACAGTTCCTCCATGTCATGTCAAAAAAGAAAATGGTCGCCCAGCAGGATAAAGATATTCAGAATCACACCTGCTTGTCCCTACTTGACTGAAAGCTCACTGAGAGAAGGAGCTGGACTTTTTTTTTTTAAGACAATTAATTTACGCATACAGAATTAGGGTATAGGCCAGAGGTATGGGAGTGAGAGGGTTCACCAGAGTTAGAGTGGGGGAGGGGGCAAAACAAGCAGACTGACTAAGTACACTGCTGAGGGGTAAAGCAGGTGAGACAGGAAAGGGTCTGCTGCACCATGTGGTGCAGCTCCCTGCCCAGGATGGAACTTGTGCTGAAGCAGCTGCTACTAGTTTCCTAGTGCTGCCCTTTAACTCGTTGCACCACCAGGGAGGGCCTGGGACTGGATTCTTAATATATTTCAGTTATCTCCTCTGTACCCATCAATGTACCTTTACGAGAATCTATTCACCTCTATTGGCTGGAAACGAAAGACATGCTGAGTTTCTCTTGACCCTGGGACATGGTCCAGTCTTTAGGACCTCATTTCTATTTTCAGCCTCCCTCCAATTTGAAGGAGAGCAGCTTATTAAGTTGAAGTTTCTCCAGCTGAAATCAGAATTAAGAAATGGGTGGCTAAAGTTGGTTACTATCATCTAGGGTAAAGTGATTTAAAATTGTACTTCAGATGTCCAGAGTAGAGAAATCTATAGAAACAGAAAATACATGAGTAGATGACTCAGGCTATGGGGAGAAAGAAGATGTGAGAGGCAGGAGGGAGTGACAGTTAATGGAAATGGTTTTTTTTTTGGTGGTGGTGGTAATGAAATGTTCTAAGATTGTGTACAACCCTGTGAACATACTAAAAAAACTATCTAAATGGATGACCTACATGGTAAAGTGAAGTATATCTCAACAAAGTTGGTCTTTTTAAAACTGCACTTCTCATATTATCTCAGAAAGCAGAAATCAAATTCAAAAGGGGATATCCCCAGCAACAAATTCATAACTCAACATTCAAAATAGAAAGAAATACAGTTCCCAAAAACCACCACCAACATTCCACATCAATGTACTAATTAATTTTCATTTCTATGAAACCCACTTGGTTTGCCATTGAGTCTATGAGACAGACGGACATGAAGCCAGTGTATTCTGCAAGCTTTTCCTACAAGGCATGGAGAAGCAACCAGCTCAGCCACTGAAGAGGAATGTTAATTCAGCAAGGTTGAAAACTGAAGCTACCAGAATGTTATTTAGAAACCAAACAGATGTCAAGAGATTGACTTCTTTTCTTTTTAACAATATGGGCTTTGTTGTTGTTTACATACCCACAACTATATATATATATA